AGCCTCTCCAGTTTCAGTTGGCCAAGATTTCCCTGATTTTGCAGTGTGTTTTCCAATACCTCATTTTCTTCTACGCTAGTGTCTGCTACACTAAAACCCAAATCATCAAAAGAGTCATCATATTCGTCTTCATATTCATATTGTGAGACCAGGGCAGCGGTTCTTAATTTGTGGTTTTCATCGCTAGTATCCAGAATGTTGGCATCGGACAAGTCATCTTCGGATTTCTTCACATATTTTCCAAGTGATTCGGAGGATGAAAACAATGGTCCGTCTGTCTCTTGCTTCCCACAAAAAGCTGCTGCAGTATTGGAGGGCATTGACATAGAGTCTATTAGTTTACCTTTTCCTTTGTCATTTCTGTTCACAGTAGCAGTCTGAGCTGGTTGTACCACATCAAGCGATCTGTCCAAGCATTGCAGATCTTCATGAAGGGTTCCCTCCAAAATCCTCTGAATGACCTCTTCCGGATTACGATCATAGACTTCAAGACATGCGCCTAAAAACCCTTTACCATAATCAGGAAATAGGTCCCTTATTTGACTGATTTTGGACTCAATTATAGCAGCATCTTCATCAGCCTGTAATGGTTTGCTCTCCACAGGGCCTCTTGCAGACTGTGGATCCTTATAAATCTCTTTTGAATTCATAATCCCAGATATATACTGAAACTGTTCATCATCAACAAATATCCAACCTGAATAAAAGCAACTCAATTAGAAAACAATATGTGCAGGGATGCCATCAACTATGACTGTTACAAAATCAAGCTAATAATTGCTAATGAGATAAACTTCATTGAAAGATCAAAGTGATCAAATTCCATCCCATAAATACGTGGGAGAGAGAAGTTTTAAGCCACTTGAAGACTTTTCAGCAAAAAGCTCCGACCAAAAACCATTCTATGCCCAACACAAACTCATGAAAGTAAAGCCATACTAAAATCTTCTGCAAGTAAAACCTGTGCTTACGCAGGATCACTTACCATTATCCCGCAAGCTTTCAACCATTTTCAAAATATTGTAACTCTTTTGAATATGTTGAATAAATGTCTCCTTCTGCTGGTTTTCCTGTAATTGCAGTGAAACTGCATTGATCTCTCTAAATGTTTGAACCAGAATATCTGCTCTAATAACCGGGTCCTCCACAGTGGCAGGAAACATTTTTGTAGAAGCTGGAAGAGGGCAACTATCTCTGAACACCTCATCACTAAGATAGCAAAAGCGCAATAATTGCCAACCAAAGTTCACCAATCTCATCCGTAACATCTTCAAACTTAAAACAATGTTTGACATTCTTCCATCTTGTTCGTCAGCAATAACAGTATGGAAGCCCCTTAGCAACGATGGAAGTAAGGAATCATGCAATCTAGCAAGAAAGCTTAGCAGCTCCTCATTGCCAGAACTATAAGAATGCAAATAAACAGAAATCAAAACTTACAAATAAAAATTTTGATGTTATCAAAACCAATTATAGAGGGCAAGTAATATATGAAAGAGACATCCCTTAGAAAATTTGACATGATGGCCACAAACAGCATACGTAATTACATAACAAATATACCCTCAAACCAGCACCAATCTCAAATGATAATAATTTCACCGTAATTAATATCATTCTTATAACGAAAAATTGTGGCATTCAGTCTTAAAGTAAAATTCCAACAATTTCAGCCATAGAAAATACCTTATTTCAACTGGGCATGAAAAAAATACAGCCGCCAGCTTGTAAGCACTAACAAAAGCATCCATTGATACAACCGCATCATTTATAAAGTCGACCACCTATAAAAACAAATTACATTGATCTTATGTTCAGGAAAGCCAAACAACTTGATTGACAAGTACTTTGCATCTGAAACTGAATACATTCTCTTCCTTGGACACTAATATAGAAACTAGAGAAGGAATTATACAAGTTTCCCAAAAGCCAGTTGACACAGCAAAATTCCACTTCTAACTTTCTTTCAGGTTAGAATGGGGAAACGGATAGCGGATAAGGATTGCATATTATCTCTAAGGAATCTGAGAGGGAGGCCATTGTGTTATATATGAGAGATAGTGAATATACTAGCAATCTACTCATCAGCAGCAATGTATACAAGTTTTCTGGAACTATGACATTAATTCATGGCAATAGTTAAGGCTTGTAAACTGTATCATCTATGTTTGGTGCAGTGTAGTATTCCCTAGCCACAGTCCTACTTTACTTGGGTTTGCTCCATTGCCACTACATCCAATTTAAATTTAAAATATTCACAGAAACAAAAAGATAGCTTCCATAAGATATAAAATCTCACCTCCAGCAGATCAGCTTGAAGCTGAGCAGCACTGCGATCATCCAGTTTTCCAGAAGAAAATAAGACCTGCGTATAATCCCAGAAAATAAAATTACTTCTATTAATGTAACTAATGTTCACATTAACTTGCTATTGTGAGTTAAGTCAATTGTAAGTAACTTTCTAAAAGGGTACTTATGAATTCACTTGAAGTAATTTGAATAGGTCAAACTCATAGATGGTGAAAAGAAAGAGCACGGGGGCATGGCCATACTGATAAAATATGCAAATAAGCTCAATTAAGGATCATTTATTTAATTCAAAATTAAACAAATCATATTCTAAAAACCAAGATTAAACTCAGCATACTTGTTTTGTGCATTCATGAATCGATTGTTCATTACTTGTGAAATTATGAATAATATGAATAGGACTTATGGATAATTGCCCCAAGCAGTTTAACACCATAATTTAATTTATATTTATAGATTAACTAGCAGTATAAGACTCCTAACGTAAACAAACTAATGACAGCTTAGAAAGAGGAAAAAGACTCAATACTGAAAAGAAAATGATAAATGATAGGCATAACATGCTTTCGCATTGTCAATTTATAACAAGTACCTCCAATGATGAACTGCATCTCTCATGCATCGTGTGCGCAATTCCAAGAAAATGTGTAATTACAGCTGTCAGATTATCACAGATCCAAGGTTGAGCATTCAGAGCATTTCTGACCTGGAAGTTGTGATGACATAAGAGAGGTGAAGAGAGAAAGTAACCACAGAAGCTTTTGCCAACAAACATTTTAATTCAAAAGCTTAAGCTATTACTAAGAGCAGATTTATGAATAGTTTTTCATATAATCTCCAACATAAATTCACACTTTTAGGCATCAAACGTGAGCAAAGCAGAAACCGTCCTATGCTGTGCCTTGAGTTTTATTTAAAGACTACATTTAAATACAATTAACTCTTTATATCTTTATTATCAAGTATTCATCTCAAAACAAAGAGGGCATCACTCTCCAATAATAAAGTGTCATGTGTATGATTTAATTAGAAACCATAAAGTTGTTTGCAAAAAACCATACACTTGTCATATTATTATTCGAAAATCATGCACTTAAGATGTTATGATTAAACAAATTATGAACTGCATAAAAACTTTTATTGTATTTAATTAAGAACAACAGGGGACCCCAAGGATTGAGCTCCTGCCCACTTCTTTATTTAGGTTTTGTATTATCTCATAAACCACACTAAACACACACACACACAAAACTTCATATAGTACTTCTTGGAGGTAGTTCTGAAGTTATATATTGAAATTTATGGAACCTAAAGCACATCAAGGTTGTTCTTCATACATATAAAACCATTATTATTAAAAAATTCTTACGAGCAATCTTGTCAACTCTTCATTTTCATGACTATAAATGGCACATATATCTAACAGCTTTGGCAAGTCAAGCAACTTTTTCTCCTGCAAAAGAACTGCAGGCAGAATCAGTAAACAGCAGTGAATCAGAGACCATACAAATATTAAGTTACCGCCCACCAGTAACCTGATTGTGGAAATAATTCTTTCATACATAGGCTATTGTGTTTTAAAAATTACATTAACTACTAGTCAAACAACACAATGATGCACATTTTGACGATCAATTACCACCAGTGGGTGTGACTGACATTTCTGATTCAATGCACGTGCCAGTCACTTCTGTTACAACCATTAAACTTATAGAGTATGAGCAGAGTTAATATCAATTAAATCTTCCATGCCACATAGGAATTTATTCTCGGCAAAAAGAAGCTCGCATTATTGAGCAATATTTATTTTGGAACAAGTTAAGAAATTATTAAAAGAAAACAGAAGGGGTTCAATGTTCAACTAGGGCGTAATATTATCCCAGAAACGTCAGGAAAGAAGAGGACAAACCCAAGAGGACCAAAACTGCAAAAGAGTTCCCTACTCTATCTGCATATCAAAATTAGAAACTCCCTATAAATAACCATTTGTAGAGCACCAACCTGAAGCCATAAGACAATCCGATCTTGTAACCAGGTTACTAAAAAATATGCTATAACAAGATATGTTGCAACAAATAAATCAAGGCTCATGATTTCTTGCTAAAACACATCCTGTTTTCAATGAGGGAAAAAGATAAGAGACAACTCACCTCCATGGTCTCTCACATTGAGGCTATGAGCAACCTGATCACCTGGATCTTTATTAGAAGAACTACAAAACATACATAAATGACAATAAGAGCAGTCGAAACGTGCAGTTGGCAAGAATCCAAAAAAGATAACCAGAATAACAATCAAGCTTCAGAAAAACTTACATGCGATACAATACCATAAAAACACGCCGGCTTAAATCAAGCTCTCCAACAATAATCCCAGCAACTATCCCTTTGGCCCCACGATATGGGAAATCATACCATCTGCTTCTAAATTTTAGAAAGCTGTCCAGAAATTCATGCAAGGAGGTATCAGTAGCCACTGCAAATGTTACATAAATAACATAGGAATCAGGAATTGAAAGATAAAATATGAACTCAAGAAGCACTCTAACTATGGAACATTAATGAGGGACTGCTGTTTCCCAAGATATTTTGCTATTCACGAAATTACAAATCGATTAAATAACTATGCCGATTATCCAAACATTAAGTGATGTTGATTTCATCGAAATAAAAGTTCCATCACCTATTATAAAGGACAAGCAATAAACCTGAGCCTATTTAGGTGGACAAAATTGACAATTTTGGAAGATCATACATAAGAGCTATTCTACAAGTAGTCAAGTTGAAGTTCCCGCCCACGCCTAGCAGGCTCGCACAGCAGCAAAGCTGAATGAGGATTATGTGTTTCTCTCACCCACCAAACCAAAAAAGTTTAAATTTCAATATATTCACTTTTCAATGCAGTTAAATTTCTCGAACGATCTGTTTCGAGGCCCAAAATTAAAAAATCTCGAATGATGTATGCTGTCATTGTAAAGAATAGCTTGGCAACCCTGGCGTGTCCAAAATCAACAAAATACATCAATGAAAGCAATAATCATGGGTAAGTACCTCCTTCCAAAATTCCTTCGGTTTCAACTTAAGCAAACGAGACAGCTCTCTATTTAAAAGATCAACAACTCGCTGAGATTCCACGGGATCCAATCCTCCTTCCTCAGCGCCAAGCCCAGCAGCCACTGCCTCGTCTTGTGGCAAGTAGTTTACAAATTACCAACCTGGGCTCTATTTGACACCCACTGTCCATTGTCTCCCATTTGAACCCTGCCCATCGATGCTGAAACGGAACTGCTGCTCTCAACACGGCCATCCGATTGTTTCGATGAATTTGACTGTCTGAGGGAGGTTGAGAGAGTTGGTTTTGACCCGCTAGGGCTTGTATTCGAATTTCTGGGCACAAATTTTTTCTGGGCTTTGACGAAAACCCTTGTTACCCTCTTGCCTCCCCGGACCATATCGATTCGACATTGTACGAAAAACGATAGTCTGCGACAAATGAAGCGCAACAATTCCACACCCGAGCAAAGAATGCTGATGACTCGGTGGGTTAGAGCAAGCACTTCTTCTTCCCGGTTCTTTTTTTTTTTGGTCCAGAAGAGCAAGTATTTCTTCTTATTCTTTATTCTTGTATAGAACACATATACATGAAATCTATCTATTTATAAAGACAATTTTGCCACTTCAATTTAAAAGATTCCATGATAATAAGATAATTGTGAGATAATAAAAATAATGTGGATATAGAGATGATATATATATATATATATATATATATAACACCAAACACCAAGTGAAGATATATATATACACACACATATGGATGCTATCATTACAATTTTTTCTCAAACAATTTTATAAAATTGTTTTTACAAAACATGTTGAGAATTAAAAAACAGACAAGATTCACATCTTATTTTGGAGTGCACTGAACCCCTAAACAAAATATTTTAATTTAATAGTATAATTTTACTCATAATATATTAAATTTGATGTAATCTCATCCATTTTTCATTTTTTTATGTTATCGTAATTTGGTTACTTTGTATAAAATTATTCAATAATTAATAAAAGGAATTAAAATTATTAGTTTTAACTGTTAAAATGATTAAAAAAAAATCATGATTTAATAAATAAAAAATAAGATTGCACTAAATTTAAAAAATATAGATAAAATTGTATCACTAGAGTGTGAGGTGCACTAGATAAGTGAGAAATAAGATTTAAATGCTGCTTTACTCAATGAAATAGTAAAAAAAAAAAAAAAACTGTTCGAATAATTATTTTAAAAATTTTTATTTTTTGTTTTGTTTTTAAAAAAATTATTTTTAAAATAAGAAAACAAGCTCTAAGATGATCTGTGGTCTACTATAGTCTCCGGGTCGTTTTTGGGCTATGAAACGAACGCCCAATTATGATTATATTGGGCCTCGAGTTGGCCATGTCATTGGAGACCTCCTCTGCATATACTTTAGCTTCTATTCAGTCCTGACTTTGACTTTCCCCTCAAGTTACAAAAAGGATGGATGATTTTTTTGGGCCTCAGGGATAGTTGACGCTGGCCACTGAGTTTGTCACCAAAAAGCAAAAAGAAATTCTTAGCTTCCTTTATTTTTCATTTTGGGTTACCCACCTACACTGCACATAACTCCAGTTCCAAAGAAGAGGAGTTTGAATGCGCACCGTTAAAACAAGACAGACATTACTACTTTCCAATCTAAATGGAGAAACTAGTTTGGGGAATTTATTTTATTTATTAATATAAAATCTTAATTCATTTTATTTTTTGAATTTATAATATTTCTTTTAAATTATCCCATATTAAAAGGATTTTTATTAGTAGATAGTTTTCAATACAAGTGATTATATATATTTTTGTAAATAACTAGTTTAATTATTTTTTAAAATTTCTGTAAATAAGTTATTTAACCCTTACATTTAATTAGGAGCCAAGAGATATATAGAGAGAGAGTTGTCTCTACGAATCGCGATTGGAAAGGAGAAGTTAGAATATTAAACGCAATGGGTGGAGGTCGTTGCCTTATTGTATGCTTCAATAAATATATTTGCAAATGATATCTCAATGAAAAATCCTCAAATCATTATTTTTTGTTGAGCCTAAGATATCTATCATAGAAGTAGCACCTGATATTTTTGTATTGCAGACTTTCTGAATGAATTTTAGTGCTAGTTAAGAGACCTTCCTCATACAGCCTCAAACAATTGACGAGTATTGACGAGAGTATGCGATTTATTTGTCCAGTCGCGCTACGAAGATACAACGCCATCACTTCATGCATAGAATAAATTTAAGGCCATCTTTGTAGCTTACATTGTTGGAACTAAAAGCTACATATAATCAACTAAAAGTAACCGTTTTTTTAATGTGCTTAAGGATCGGTAAAGGGTCTTAATTAATTAATTAATGATTTTTGCCAATTCACCCTTTTAGGTGATATTTTATCAAGAAACAATGACCTTGATTCTATTTCGATTTAACAAATTTTTAATCTTGGTTTGATAAATATAATAAATTACTCCTCTGAATTGTTTTCATTTATGTGTTTGTCCACTTGCAGCTTCCTTGGCAAATCACCGTTGCTCTCAAGGATTTTAATCAAGTTCACAGATCACGTCTTTAACTCATATTGGGCTTATATGGAATGACTTATAAGTAGCTTTTCAAACGTAATTTATAGAATATAAGGTAAATATGTGAGAAGAGTTTTGTATCGACTTGTATGAAAGTGCTTGTAATTAAGCACTTTTGCAACGTTGTTCTAAATAATCCCATTGTCTTTTTGTTGAGTTGTTCTGGATTTGAACCAGTCAAGAGAAGAATGTTCTCGTGGGGAAGTTGGACAGGATTTAGTTTCAAATGCATCATGCAAAATATGAATACATTTGTTTAATATTGTCATGTTGTTTTTTTTTTTTTTGGTAAAGAATATTGTCATGTTGTTTTGAATTTAAATAAATTTACAATTCTTTGAACAGAAGATTAACAAACCCAAGGCTATGGGCCTATAGTTGCCGTATCATTTAATGGGGTCACAAATGTAAGGAACACACAATGCTTGATCCATAAAAATGTGAGAACTGTCTTCATGGATAAGAGGACAGCAGCATTTATATTAGAATATAACAAGTTAGCCAGAGCATATATATATATATAATATCATTATCATCTTTAATTTTCCTGTTTACTGAAGTAACGTTTCAGGATCACAGGTTTCTTCCATCCTCATGTTGGTGGAGAAACCTTGCGGCTGAGATTCAATCCAATGTCAACTCCATTATAAGCAATTGGAGCGTACATCCACAGGTCATCAGAACTTAAAAGCTGCACACAAATAAATCATCCTGAGCGAACTGGTTTGATGGTATATATATAACTTTTGTTTGTGCAAATATCGAAAAAGTTGTCATTTTTCTGCGATGTATGCCTCTTATTACCTTAATTTGGAGCTGCAAAAATTTCACGTAGTGGACTGCCTCTTCAAGCATTGTGCTTATATCAACCTGAACCACCGTTTGCAAAGTAAATCAGTGATCCTAGTCTTGCATATTACTCCCCAACCCCACCCCCACAACCCAAAAAAGAATAAATTAATATGAAGTGTCATCACCTTTGTTCCGTTTGGAACAAGATTCTGTAGGATTCTCAGTCGTTCATTTATTCTCTCTCTTCTTTTCTGCAAGATTCATAACGAAAATGAGTATTATATACAGAGTATACTGCACGTCCACGCCATCTTGTAAAATGACGGAATATTAAATTTTGACGTGAAAGAAACAAATATATTACCCTGGCATAAAGGCTCTGGGGATCTGTTGCTGATCCCCTACTGGCCCTGGTCTTCCCATTTGTGTTTTGAGTCACTAGTGATTTAGACTCTGAGGAAGCTCCTCCGCTATTTTCCTGAGAAGCATTATCGTCCTCTAAGCTGTAACTACTACAGCTCAGTCCATGTAATCCTGTATCAGTCTCTTCTGCCCCATAGCCATTCCCTGAAACCTTGTGGTTCTTCTTTAGCTGTGCATTTTTCTTACTCTTTTGAACCTGAATTTGAAAATCACAGTGAGAAAATCTAATCCTGCTTCCAATCTTAATACTATTGAGTGTTGACAAAAATGTATAGGGTCAAATAAAACACTTACATCTCTTGAGAAACGAGGTTTCTTCTTCTGGTTCTCAGATGCTGAAGCCTCCAATTCTGGCACTTCAAACTTCCCTTTCAGGCGCAACTGTTCGGCAACAAAAGCTGTGACCTCAGCTCGACTTTGATTAGAACTCTCCAATTTGTCCCCTATTCTGTCTTCATTAAAGCTAACAGTTTCTTCCACCAAAACATTTTCCGGTGATGGGATGAAAGTGCCAGTGTCTTTCTCATGCATCATGCAAACATTCATGAACATGCAGGCATCATTTGCTAGTGCCTGATTAGGATCACTGAGATAGTAGTTCATATGGCCCGGGTTGGCACCGAAGAAAGCATCGCCACTACAGTTAGTATTGAAACTACTTGCTTGAGGAATAAGCCGCAAATCTGGGTTGGGAGCATCTAAAGAATTAAAAATGTACTCATTTTCCCCAGCTTCAGGAGCAGAGCGAAATGCAGATTCTATTCCGATAAGCATTCGATCACGTTCACCGGGCAGAAGTGAGCTTTGGCCAAGAAATTGTGGCAAGTAATCATGCTCTTCTGAGGCAAAAATTCCTCGAAAGCAACTCATTTCCCCATCAGGGATGACTCCAAGTGGCTCCATTGTTTTCAGTGTACTGAGAAGCCCAAGGAAAATAATGGCTTTTCTTTTGTGGTCTAATACCACTGCCAAGAGAGGTTAAAGGATGCTTGCCATCAACAAAGACTAGAAACACATTTATACCCATTGCCAATAGTGTTAGCATAAGGATTGACTTCATTTGTGAATAATTTTTTTTTTTAATTCATAATCATTGTGCTCGGGTAGGTCCCAGTTCTCTGTAACTGAACATAGGAGTCCACTGTGGGCCCAATACCAGGCAAATGACAACTCAGAGGGATACCAAAGTTCATGGTCATGATAAACTAAAATAATGCAATGCTCCAGTGGCCTTCAGACTTTAAACACCTTAGACTTCTTAAAACTGTCATAAAAAGGACAACGGTGGTCTAATAATAATCATTGAAGGTGACTAACTGTGTGATTAATAAGTATCTTAATTAATGGCCGTGGACGTATAGTTAGAGCTGAGGAGGGAAAAAGCATGCGCGTTTTTGATATTGTCAGAACGTGAAAGTCTTCTCTGAATATAATAAACAGAAAGAATTCTGTTAGCAAATACTAAACAATAGGAAGACATGGGCGGCCACATCGTGGGGGTGAGTCTGACATTCTTTATAGTAATTTAAAGTCCGACAGAGACCGTGGAGTTCGCTCATTGTCTCCTCAGCCTCACATCACAAGCTCTCCCTTTTTGCTGGAACGCCCACAGAATGTACCGGCCATAAAATATGTACTGTTATGAGATTAGAATGAATTATCAATGTTGAATGCACAATCATATCCTGGGCTTACAGATTAAACCTGGTTAACCATGTTCGAGTCTCTTTGCTGTAATATCTCAGAGATCATATCATCTAGGCTGCCATATCTACTCACTATTGAATTCACGATAGAGCTTATACAGGCAAGCATAAGAAGTGGGAACCGATTTTTAGTTAGTGAAGGAAAATGAAGGATTCCCCAACCGCCCGCCCAAAAAAAAAAAAAAATCCCCGGTGACAACCTCATCATCCCAGCCTCTAACGTGCACAGTGCCAGAACAATACAAAGTTGGTGCTGATCATGAAATGGGTAATGCCTTCTGAGTTTATAGAGAGTTTGATCTGCAGAGGAGTGGAACTGTAAAATTATAGATAGCAGAAATAAGCTTTTTACCCCATTTAGTTCTTAAGCTATTGATACCTTCTCAGTTCTTTATCAAATTTTTTTTTCCCGGTCACTTGTGCTCCTGCCCTATCCCTTCCGAATTCTGTGACAGCAACAATGTACACTTCCACACGGCATTGACATTGCTGGTCGATAACCATTCTCGTAACCCTTACAAAGTCAACCTCCAAGTATTTGGTAGGTAGCAGTAAAATGAGATAGCAAAACAGAATAAGTTAATGTTAATGATTCGCACAAGTACACAAGGAGCCAGCAGCGCAATATCTACGACAGAGCAAAGAACCTAGCTGTTATATCTTCGTCTAATAGGGTGTGTTTGGGTGACACCCCAAACCATGGTTTGGGGAATAATCTACCCAAACACTCCCTCCAAAAACCAAAACCATGGTTTTGGAAAAAGCAAATTTTTTTTGCTTTTGGAGAAAGAAGGGAGAGTGTGAGGGCCTATATGATATGTATCTTGTTATTTTTTTTATAAACATATTTTTTTATAAATATATTTAATCTTATATTTTATAAATATATATACACATTAATTATTTATTAATTATATTATCTTATGTATTATTAATTATGTTGGTAAAAAACATATTATTAACAATTTTATTCCTTCAAATTAAAATATATCATAAAATCTATTTTTTTTGTAATTATCATATTAACTTATGTCTTTTTTTTAATAATTTGTATATATAAAAAGTGCTTCTGATAACAACTATCCAAACACTCTCACTTCTCAGAATCACTTTTTTACAAAATCTATTCTTCACAGAATCTATTTTTCCCAGAATCTATTCTTCAAAATCACTTTTTCAAATTACGGTTTGGTTTCATCCAAACACACCCTAAGATTAATCCGTCGTCACAAAATTCTCGCGATCCAATAGATTACCAGAACAAAGGCATTGAACACACTGATAACAATCATGTTAGGTATCCTTAGATTCCGCCTATCCTCGCGCGAGCCCCCCCGTACACGCGTCGAAAATGGACTACTTTTCCCCATTTTTTTAAAACCCCATCTCTTCTTCGAAGAAAGTTCATATCGTCTCTTCTGTCCGCACCGGCCATTGCACGACTTTTAGAATTTGAAATGGCCAGAGGAAACGCTGTAATCCCAGACGAAAAGAAAGATGAGGTAGAGAATAAAATCTAGAAAGTAAATAGGACAAACAGATTGGAGACTCTAAAAATCTGATTTTATTCCTTAATGATAATCTGGTTTATTAATAGTAACTAAATAATTATATGTCTTGGCCTCTCTCGCTCGGGCTTCTTCCGGGTTCGTCTCCGCATGCCTGTAAAGAGGAAAGAACAGGAAAACAAAATATTGTAACCTTTCAGTGTTAGCAAAGGCTACGACATTGTTCAACCAAAAAGAACGCATAATTAATTTATTTATTTCTGAATTTTATGCACCATGTAGAGGACATATCATCATTCTAGAAGGAACAGCCTTTAGCATCCGTCACAATTTCTCACTCTTTTCTTACGTTTAATCCTTACATTTCAAAGCAATCAATATATGTCTATATAAATTATTTTTAATAATAAATAAGTATTGTCTGTGTTCCATTTTTTTTTCTAAGCATTAACATATTTAACCCCTCTCAATGAAGCCCCCCAAAAAAAAAAAAACAAAACCCTCTGAAGATTTATAAAATGTTCGTACTATCCATGCCTTTTAATCCTGACCTTTTCCGTACTTAACCCGGCTACTAAAGTCAATTCATGTTATCAATAGCAAACCAGGCATGAGGCTGCAAAGCGTGACAATAAATATGACCAGGCCTTGGAGAAAATGCAATCAGGGAACTTCATAATATGAATATATAATGAACAGGGGAATAATATGGGCTAATTAAAATGCCACAGCAGAAGGATGAGACCCCACAAGGTTAAATAATTTGCATATAATAGAGAACACGCCTTATGTGTAGATGTTTAATAAATTACACAAACAAGTGCATGAAAGCATTATAATATGGTCACATATAATTGTTGTGGGATGCATGACAACATAATTGAAAGTACGAGACCTAAGTGACGTGGCCCGGAGGTTTGAAGACTTGTCAATCCATTATGTGAGCAATTGTTTTAAAATTATATATCAGAATATTTAATCCCCACATGGAAGGTGGCAAGTCCATATTATGGAAGTTCAAACAACATCGTGTTTTTAAAGAGTTACGACGAAAATATCTCATACGTAGGTTAATATCAAATTACAATCTCATTATAATTTAGCTGGCAAAACAATCTCATTCTAATTTAAAATCTTTAAATTTAGTATTTATTTTTTGTTGTATTCGAGTATTGAAATTCTTTTGAAAACAAATGGTGACAACTAATGTTTGGTCATCAGTTGTACCTTGTTTGGGCATTAACAGGAGGCAGTAGGTGTTATTTTTTCTCTTACTTTAGGGGCAAAATTACAGAAAGAGATTAAAAAAAAAAGGATAAATGAAACGTGGTCAGCCATGAATAGACAGCCCAGTGATGATTCCAGGACAGACAACCACGATTTTATTTTAGGTCAAGATGAAAATTTTTTACTCAAAAACGTTGGCATCTAAAAATTTTTTTAAATACAAATTTATTCTGAAAGTTTAATATTGGAGTAATATTACTTGTTCATGTTAACATAGTTAACAGTTAACGTTACGATTTTAATAATCAATATTTGTTTTTTAATGGAACAATATGCAACGTTTGTTTCTTAATGGGACAATATGCTATGATTCAATGTTAGTTTTTTAACTGGGCAATATATTACTACCTCCGGTCCTAATTATAAGACCCAGTTGACTTATTTGAGGAGATTAAGGAAGTAAGTTAAATTAGTTATTTGTAATAAATAAGTGTTGTCATTCCTAAAATATCCTTGCTAATTAAGTATATTGATTAGAACTATCATTATTAGAAGGATTATCTTGGAAAAAAATGCATAAATATGAGAGACAAAATAGATTAGGGTCTTATAATTATAACCAAACAAAAAATCAAATGGGGTCTTATAATAAGGACAAGAGGTAATATAATTTAAACTTTTGAAGCAAATTTACATCTAAAAACCCTTCCGTCAGTGTTCTTGAATAAAAAATTTTTAACCACGTTTGCACCTTAACCATTTTATCTTTACACATTGAATTTCTGTTTTTTAAAATGATAATTAGATAAAACAATAATTAAAATCCACGACACTAATTGATTCCGTGTGAATTTGATTACAGGGAAAACAATTGGAATGCTCGTGTTACTTAGCTATGGGCAATATAAGGGCCGTTATCTTGTAATTCAGATCATTTACGGTTTAAAAAAATAATGACATGGGTGCATTTGGAGAAAAATCAAAATGTAAACATAAAAACGTAAGCCTTGTACATAATCATATACAGATACACATACGAGTTATTTTCTAAATACATGATCGAATGATTGGTATTAAGATTTAATTATTAAGTTGATATTAATTCTAAATATAAGACCTATTTATTATATTTATTAATTTTTTAAATTATCCCTATTAATACTTCATGAATCATAATTAAGTAGGAGAGGGAAAGATGATATTAAAGAATATGATTACGATGTTCTAAAAAAATATCATACTACTTTCGATCTTTAATATAAGAGCTAGATTGATTTTTAATTTGATCTCAAATATAAGATTTCAATCCACTTTATTTTTCATATTCATCCAATTTTTTCAAAATAGTTCCTGTAGTAACTGTACATATTAAATAATTCATCAAATAGTAGTTTTAGCTAATATTCATGATTAGCAAGAGTATTCTAAGAAAAATAACACTTATTTATTTCAAATAATTAACTTTACTAATTTCTTTAGTCTCTCTAAATTAGTCAACTACATCTTATATTAAAAATTGGAAGTAATATTTCTTACAATTAATTAATTTATCTAATTTTTTTAATTTAATTAAATAGGTCTTACATAATGATGTAATTTGCCTTTTCCAAAGCACTATACAGTATATATCAGTTTTGAATATTAATAAAATCTATCCTTTTTTATTTATAAAATCTATCCTACGTCTATCTATTTTACACGCACACATTTATGAAAACAAATCAAAAGAGAGCACACTTTTATAAACCACAACTTGGATCAAACTCTATGCAAATTACTTGGCAAGTTAGCATGAAGAAAAACTGGGAGGAAAGAAAATAAAAAAGAAAAAAAAAACTGAAGAGAGGATGTTATCATCCCTCTTCTTTAGATAGATGAGAGAAAATAGCAAAAAAAAAAAAATCTAAATAATTAAAATATCCTTATCAAGATATATTATATTTAAAGTCAAATCAAATTAAATATTATAATAGAAAAATTATGCAAACAACTCCATCATCAAATAATTTAAAATCAAGTTATTTTGTCTATATATATATATATATATATATCATATTATTATATTTTAAAACCAAATTATTTAATAAAAATATTGCTTTGATCAAAAAAATAAAAAGTGAATAATGTTTTAAATATAAAGAAAATAAATAAAAAGAGGAAGAGAGAGGAAAGGCAGTCTCAGAAATCTTATTTTTCTTCTCAAATCTCTCCAGCAAAAATTTGGAAAAAAAAAAAAGGTATAAAGCCAATTTCATTTTCTTCCCCATTTTTCCTTCTTCCCACATTTTCCCTCTTATCCAAAAAAAAAAAAAAAAACTCATTTCTTTTTATATTTTCCTCTCTAATTTTCTCTCAATCCAAGCAAGGGGTAAATCTGGAGGGTAGTCGCAGTCCCATCGAATGAGATACTGATAACTAATTTATATTCCATACTCAATAATCCATACATCCACGACGCAATTAGCAAAAGCTGAAAGGTCCAACGAGTGCCTTAGGCGTGCCAATGTTCAATGAACTCATTTCAATAAGCCTAACAATTCAATTCCTTCAGCAGCCAAGCCAGACCCAATTCCCCCCTTTTATTTTTCAATACCAAGAGATCTTCAGGGAAAATATGAAGCCTCTAACGAAGCTCCAAGCAAATGAGAACCCAAAACGTCTTTCAACAGCTAAAAGTAAACATCATCTAAACTCTGAATTCAAGCGCCACTAACTAGCACAAACAGTGGCTTCTCCCCCAGCCTTTCTCGTCCCTGAAATCAGTCAGCCAGAGGAAGGAAATTAGTTCGTTATCACAACAAAATTTCACTCTGCAAGCAAGATTTGTGCAAGTTAATTCATCACTCCTAACACTCAACCCTACAGGGGCGAGTTATGGACTAAACAATTTGAAAGGCAATTATGGTAAAAGCTGCCATCCATCGACATTGCCATCCTATCTACAAGAACGCTTTATTCAATACCTTCCAGCACAAAATTATGCGGCAATAATGAACTTTCTTCAAAAATAGAATTCTGTAGACGGACTGACAGTTACAGCCATAAGTGCAACTCTATGGGATAAACTATGAAAACATCAGCAAATTGAAAAGGACGGACATTTGCAGATGTATTGATAACGAGATTAGTATATTCTAGTCAAAGACGCCACAAGAAGGCAGAAGAGAACTAATCACACCCACTAACGATGACTAACGTTACAATTTCTCTCTATTGATTTCATGCCCTCTCAAGAAAAGCAATAGATTACTGTCTCGAAAACTACCATAAATTGTAATGAAATGCTGCAGATGACAAGCCTTGTTTTTACTTTCATGCTTCATATTGCTTGATTTTCTCTAGATATGTAATTTACGAAGATAAATGTTTTTTTTCCAAGAAGGATAGGAAATTACAGAGCAAACCATTTGATCAATTTTAGATACTTTTTCAATCTCTGTGAAACACAAAAACAGCTCGACTGCACATAAATTTCCTCTGTAACATGCAACGGTAGAGGCAGGGAAGAAAAGGAAATGAAAGTGAGGTGTAATCATACTAGCTTGTGTGGAAAATATACATTTCAGCTGAGCAAACAACTACTAGCCATGGAAAGATAAACTGTATTTGCATTTATGTGGACATACCTTCAACTCTGGCAACTCAATTACACAAGCACACTCGACCACTTCCACCCCAACGCGTTCTGCAGCAAAGAATAAAAAAGAACTAAGAATGTACCGAGCGTGAATGTTAAAGAAGGAAATTGACTAATGACAAAACATGGTTCCACATGAAAAAGTCACTTGTAACGCAAGCATACAGTATTGAGATCAGGTAATAATACACAGAACCCATAGCAATGTCATCAATTGTCTCCATCCTTTTGTGTCTTATGATCTGTCCTTTTCTCCTTAAAAAAGGAATAATGAAAGCTGTGAAACACAGATATCGCTAAGAGTTTGAGGAAAGGCTTCAGCCCAATATTTTCGGTCATTTTCATGAAATTCATCAAACCTGATTATTAGATCAAGTTTTCTTTCTGGGATGTTGACTGTACAATCAGCCAGACCACCCATTAAATACAACAAAAGAGGAAAGTAAAATAACTTGGGTAGGATCCAGCTAAAGCATAGATGAAAATTACTTGAGTAATAACAACATCTATATAAGAAAATAAAATCTAAAAGGAGCCAACTATTGACGAACCACAAATAGATTGTCTCATTTCAAGCTCAAGATAATCCGTTTTTCATTCTTTTCTCTATACATTTCATTGGCTTCCCTGAAATTTTGTTTTCATTATTTCAACATTTCCTCAAATATTTTAATAAGATTGGAATGTTAGAAAGATAAACAAAATTTTCAAGAAATTTTTAAGTTGTTATATCTCATACACATCAGGAAAAAGATGTCTAGTTTCTCTTAAAAACATGCATAATGATGAGTTAATATCATGCTTTTGCAGCTCAAGGGAAACTTTAGGTCTCGATCAAATACCAAGTAGTTTGATTGCGGCACATAAGGTGCCTCCAGTCGCAATAAGATCATCAATGACTAAGGCTCGTTCTCCTGCCTCTACGGCCCCAACATGCATCTCCATTTTGTCAGTTCCATATTCTAAAGAATACTCTTCTGAGATAACCTCCCCTGAAAGAGAATCAAAACACAATCATTAAAGCTCTTATCTGTCACATGACACTCAGGCGCGTTATTAAGTAAATGAAAGTTAACACAGTGAAGTAGCACATAACTTAGAAGACCGTAGAAAACATAGATTCAAATATTTATAGCCATAAATAACAATAAACCAGCAATAAGGTCACAGAAAATGGTGTTTTGAGACATGCACTCAAATTCTTGAAGTTTCATCCTTCCATACTCACGTTAAAGTCACTTCAGCTCCAAGCAGACCTTTTATAACTGCACTATTAACAAGCTGGAGCCTTTTTTTTTCCCCCTTTTTTTTTGTGGGGGGGGGGGGGGGAGGAGAGAGGCGCACAAGATATGCAAGTGGCCTACCTACTGCAAGCGAATGTTAATGCAAGAAGTAATCTTCACCAAATTTGTCCTGCTCACAGATACCACGCAGCTAAAGGATCAAAATCCTCCCCGTATCTTTCTTATGATTTTTTCCTGCTCAGTCTCTTAGTTTTAGATTTTCTTACTAGAAAGAAAACTGAAGGTAGACAAGAAGTCCTTCACGCAAGAGATGTAACATTATGAACCAACATATGATATTTGCTCATCTGATCTAGTAAATATTGATACTGCTTAATTATAACAGCAAATTTAGGAAACTATGCGGTATACTAGTTATTTACTAGAGGTAAAAGATCACCTAGCAAGATCTCTCAGCAAAGTAGGAATTTTTCCCAAACTTGAATGTGGTACTTTCTATAGAATAATGCAAAATTATACCTGGTAATTTATTGGGTTTTCTCATGGGCACGAATTTTGCCCCAATAGCTAATGCAATGGGAGGGCCAAATATAAAGCCTCTTGCTTCAACACCTACATTATGCCATCAATGCAATTGTCAGGCACAACGGATAGTTTATTTCAAGACTATAAAGGAGCTGTAATGAAAAAAAAATCCATGTAAGATTCTGATAACTTGTAGGGATCGGTAAGGAAGTATGCCTTTGCTTTCTTCTAATAATGGAAGCAGAAGTTGACCTAGTGGCATGTAATTGGGCTAACACCATGTACAGATTATTGATTCAATGCAATTTTCAATTGCACAGGTGGCTCAATTTTTAATACTTCCACAGATAATGGACACTGTCGTCATTGTTTCAGAAACCAAAAAAAAAAGGAAAAGGATAACAGCATGCTCATTAAGACCCCAAAAAAAAAAAAAATGCCATGCTCACACAGCCCCACACACACTTGTGTCTGACAAACTCGTGTAAATAATATCATGAACTAAAAATAAACCCTAGAAACTTTTTAGATTTTGTCATGTCATAATGAGCATATCAATGCTTTTACTTCTCAGTTCTGCAAATGGACACAACACAGACAGGAAATGGTTAACTATAAGGGGTAGTGGAGATCTTCATTCTCAATAAAAGGAAGGGGGAAAAAAAAAAGATTTCTACACAGCTTTGTTCTTCTCCTTCTACTTAGATCGGCCAGAGTTCTCAATGCGTGCCGTATTTAACTGAAAAGGAGCTTTAGGAGATATAAGGACAAGGCAGCGTATACCGATATAAAAGGCTATAAGTTGACATCATTATGATAAAGATTTATGCATTCCTTGAGCAATCTTCAATCTCAAAGGAAAGGAACTTTGCTATTTCAATTTCAGCTCCGGGACGGGGGGCGCTTTAAAGACAGAAAAATGTATCCACGTAGACTAAACGTACAAGGGTAAGATAAGCCAATTAAACAGCAATATTTGGAAAAATATTTGCAGAAATACCTGCCACCACAGAGATATTTTTATCGCGATATCTCTCCACAAACATATCAATCGTGTCTTTGAATGCCTTTGTATCAAGAAGCAAGGTTGTTATATCTTGAAACATAATCCCTGACCAAATCAAGAGTACAAAGTTAAAACCCACAAAGTTTGCGTCTTTTAATCTAAAACTAAAAATCTGAGAAAGGTAAAATGCAACGTCATCATGTATAAAATAATGCCGAAACTATTAAAACAGAAAAATAACTAGTAGGTTATTTAAAGTAAAAAACCTGGCTTGGGGAAGTTTGGGATGACACGGATTGCAGAGGAGATTTTTGCTATACGAGGGTCTTGGCCATCCTTCACAGCCATCTGTGGAATTTGTACAGAGTCACCCGCTGCTCAACAACGATCAGTCAGACAAAATGAGGTACGCGCGGATTCGTATAAAGTAAAAGAAAGGGGAAAAGGGAGCGGGGTTCGGTAAGGATACATACAAGAGATGTTAAAAATAAAATAAAATCCAATTATTAAACCACCCCATCACTTGTATTCCGAGCTTCACTAGGTAAGAAAGAGAAGAATGGTGGTTAATGAACACTACAAAATGTTTCAGTAAATCAGATTCGACAAAGAGAGTGTAGCGAAGGTTATTTGTGGGGTTTGCACATATCAGCGGTAAAAGTGAGAAATTACCAGGAGAACGCAAACTTGCGGGGGCAGATCGATCAGTGTGGAGAGGGTTCCCCGGTAAGAATGACGATGACGGATTGGAGATCCTTAGAAACCGAGGTTGGAGGCGAAGAGAAGAGGGTAGTGTAGCTAGTAAAAGGAGACAACGAATTCAACGAGCGCACTAGGGAAGTTGATTGCATTCTTATCTTTAAAAATATGATGAATGACATGGATTATAAATGGAGAAAAAGGATCGATATCAATTCGTAGCTTTGGATTACAGATCTGCTTACTTTATTAAAAGTCTCGTAATTTCATTATTACAAGATCAACGGGGTCCAAGTGCTGGATCTTTCGTCAAACGCTTGATCAAAGGCAAGGGCATTTTGGTCCACCAGAGCGGCTGCAGGACTGCAGCTGCAAGCCTCCATTTCGTGATTCATGCATTTTTTCTGCTTCAGCCTCCTTTCGTGATTCATATTCTCATGCCCTGTTCATTTATATCGGAAGCTTACACAAATACTTCTGTTTTTTAATTTAATGCAATTGTGACACCAAAATTGATAATTTTTTTTGTCTGAAAAAAATTGTAAATTGGCTCACTCATTGCACAAAGGAAAAAAAATTAATTAAATCGCATTTGGCCTTAAACTTGAAATAATTTTCCCATAAAATAATGCGTTGTATGTACATTTTATATCTGTATAATAACGATAGTGTTTATTATTTCTAAAATGAAACGATGGTATTTGTGGTTAAGCACCCAAAATAGTGACCCCATGGTAATTCACTTTTGGTCAGAAAGGAACTGTAGCTTTTGTTGCACTGTGGTCAGTGAGATCTGAGAGGAACATAAAACTCCGACGTTCCTGAAATTGTCCGTAGGGACTAAAGTCTCAGTCCTCTTGAAAGCCTATTGGGTCCGTATCTTAAAGTTACTTTTTGTTTTCTTTGATTTTTCATTTGGGCTGGGTTGGCCTTTTTGTTGCTGTTGTACTTTTTCGGTTCTTGGGTGAATGAACTCATTTGTCCGAGAAGCTGGGGGGAAAACTGGTGGTCGGACCTCAGATATATCCAGGAACTGGACTCAGTTGCAGTGAAAGCAATTGTTCAAAAAATAAGTTGGTTGGAGTTCCTACTTCTGACTGTCTCATCCAATTTTCTTTTAAGAATTAATCCCCATCCTTAATGTAATATTTACTCAATTAATTTAAGTAAATTAAAAGGATTAAATAAATGATTTAATTCTAACAAATATGAAACAATCTCCTTAAACTTTCTTCATGTAACATTGAATTATATGACAATAGTTTATAGGATGGATAAATTAGTGTCAAAAAAATGGTAAAATGTAAGATAAAATGGATAAAATGAAAATCAACTCACCGGCTATTTCCTATACATCTAGGACCAATATTTGGTATTGTTCATCTGCATCATCTGCATTCGAATGATTAATATCTTTTCCCTTCTTTTTCCCCTCTTCAAACACTTTTTATTATTCAAGTTATTTATTCACGATTAAAAAAAAAAAAAGGTTTTGCCATTTCCTTTGTTCCGGAGGGGGGGGTGGAGAGCATCAGTGATGAAACCAAATGGAACCCTGAGGAGGGGTTGCTGCAGGTGACCCGCGGCCCCTATTTATATTACATATTCCTTTCAAGTTTCAAGCTTCAAACTTGCAAGTCACGTAATTCCCGCTAATACCCCTTTCCCTCCACTTGTTTCTTGTCACCTTCTTATATATACACACACATATCGCAATGCGTCACCTGATTTTTTCCCCTCTTTGTTATCCATATTTAATTTAAGTTTAGTTTCGGTTATCAATACTTGTTCACCTGCCAATCTGCCAATATTCCCCCAGCTGAAAGGCTCTTTTAGACGAATCCCACGATTTTAATTCCCCTTTCATTTGGTCTGGTCACCTACATCATAACGCATTCCTGGCATAGCGACCCCTGATCAGTCGATTTTATTTATTCTTTTTTTTTTTTAAATTTAATTTTAGCGAGGGTCATGGATCCAAATTAAAACCCATGAGCAAAACCGAAGCTTGTTTGGGACCCAATATTCCATATTATTGGGCAGTCTGAGTCAGTATTCCTTTTCGGCTGCGGGGCATTCTAAAACAACCACAAATCCTGTTGTTGTTGTTGTTATTATGGAAATGACATATTTATCACGTGCTTCTCTTGGCTCTCACTAGTCACCAAGGTCCTGTACACTTCCAATTCGTCTCCCACCTAATCCACCTTCCTCACTCTGTACTATCAATAAAGCTCAGACATCAGACGTTAATTGCGCATTAATCCTTTGACAGCTAAATTTTCCTATAAAAAAATTAATTATCAATTTACAAGACTTGAACCGTGTTGGACGGGGCGCGCGAGACCCATGTGATAATAGTTCCCACAAAAATAACATTTAAATTATTAAATTGTAAATAAATTTTTTTTTATAAATATGTTGTTATTTGCAAATCCAATATTTTGTTACTAATTCTGATTTTAAATTTAATAATTTCAAGTTTTTTGATGAACTTTTGTCTAATAATATTCTTCTAATCCTAAATATAAAACTCTTATATATACTATATAAGAATTTTATATTTAAGATCGGAGAAGTAATAAAAAATTAGAATGATGAATGGGGTGATATGCAATATGATGAAAAACAAGAAATGGGGGTTGCTTGGGGCGGAAGAGATGGGAAAGGGTACATATGCTTTACAGAGTGGGAAAGCCGCGAGAGTCCCAAGTTGGGATCTGGACACCAGCTTTCAAGCCGCGTTACGCCGCCTGCCTTCTACGGGATGGTGCTGCACTCGGCAGGTAACTTTTATTATTATTATTTACAATTTCAAAATTAGTATGCACGGTGGACTAGTAGAGGGGCATTCCATGGTTTTCACCGAAGTTCAGGTCATTATTGCACCGTATAAGTAGGAGCTAAGACAGGACATGCTGGGGATTACTATAGGGATATAGCTCTGTGTACTCATCTTGATGTGCCTAATGATTGGCAATACAATAGTTCTGCAATTATTATTAAAGATGCTGACGCAGCTTAGCCCCTAAAATAATCTCTGAGAAAGAGGCTCACAAAACTTCATCCGTTGATGGTCATCGGTTCCGCACATGAAATGCTAAACGCAAGAAATCAAAATGATAATGTTAAACCAAAAAAGGGCGGAAAACATAGATTAATTTTATTTGATATAATAATTGTTTTTTTTCATCAAATGGATAGGAACGCACCATTACAAAAAAAAAAAAAAAGGTTTACATTTTTTTGTCCGCGTTAGTAGTCCGCTCTATTTCATCCTATATTCCTAAGCTATCTGAGTCGGTGACAGCAGGGGACCAAGAAAAATCAAAAATAGGAATAACCCACAGAGTCTGACGCAGAACTTTCTCTTTCACCGTCACAGCTCACAACTGTCCATGTAGCTCGGGGCCGGAAAGAGACACGTGAACGGGCGTCTCTTGCCAGGCACCTACATAAAATGGAACCCCAACGCATTTACACTGAAAATTATAACCCATAATGTTACGATTTCTTACAGCACATTAATTTGATTTATTCAAGAAATGGAGCAGCACTACTCGATCCTGTTTTGTGTTTCGCCATATGCTGCCTACATGTGCACGCTTGAATCAATCACATTAATTCGCCTATTTAAGAAATGTTAATTGTGCACCAGTTTGATGTTTTTTTATTAGACAGTAGTTGACCACCTCCAATTCTAAATATAATACCTGATTTATACTTGATGATATAATTTACACTACAAACTAAATTTTATATTTAGAATCGAAATGGCATCGTTGTTCCTGGAAAACCCAATCCCTTCGCTGCAGCGATATTTATTATATTTGAACGAGGTGAGCTTAAATTCGGTATTCACAAGAAGGAACAGAAAAGGGGACCTGGGTGTGTGCACAAGACGAGGCTGAAAAACCGGGACAGTAACAGAAAGAGGAAGAGTTGAGGAGATTGATTTATAAGGAGGCGCACGTGTGGGGGTGTTCGGATTGAACCGGATGCTTCGCGTAGATTTCCAGACAGCCGACTCATGACTCTACACAACCCCAGACCCCGCAATCTTGTGGGACGTGTCTCACAGATCCGCCACTTCAATTCATCCAAATTCAATTCCATTTTGCCCTTTACAGAGTTTGGATGAGTAATAAAGTGCATCCACGTGTGTTATTTCACTCCAAGCCACTCGTCAATCCCAACTTCTCCTTTCCGTCACGCCCCCGAATTTTCCCTCCCTTTTTCCGCTGCATTCCCCGCCACATTCTATCAACTTCTTCTTCACACAATGTCCTCTATTAGGTTATTTATTAGCCAGCTAACTTTGATCTCCATTTTAACTACAAGCTTCCTTGCATACGTTTAAGACCTGTTTACATATCCCATAGATTTAAAGTGCGCGCAGTCAGATAGGAACGACAACTTTTCAAATCCTTTTTTTTTTTTTTGCCGTTAGATCGGAGTTACGTGAGAGTTTGTCCGAGCATATATTTGACTGCGATTGGTTAAAATTCAACCATACATCCTTGCCCAGAAACTCCGCTCACTTAATTGTTTAATAACGTCTCCGTCTCTTAGATCCAATTTTTTGAATTACTTTGTTTCTATTTATAAAATTTCTTTTGTGTTTGTCTAAATAATAAATTTATTTTTATCCATTTTATCCTTGATTAATATACTCTATCTCATTATCTTTTTTTTTATGCATTCTCTCTTTTTTTTTCCTCACTCACACCTATCCACTTTTAAATACGAGTATATTTGAAAAAAATACATTTCCAACATATTTATTATTTCTAACTAATTTTAACAGTTTTTTTAAAACTACGTAATATACTTAAATGAATCTAATAATAAAGAATATAAGAGTATTACGGTCTTATTTTCCCTTATCTACACAGTAGTAAACGCAAAATTAAAAACGAACTCGGAGGATGTAAATGATTTGGAGCGCACTCATTATTTAGTTGGTTATGGCACCTATCTCAATTTTAGAGTAACATCCGATCAGTTGGCGTGAAAAGGGAATGAATGTCACGGGAAACAAGACAATATAATGTAAATTAATTCAGGCCAACATTCTGTCTAGAATCATGCAATAATTTTCCATATTTTCTGGAGGGAAGATAAGTGATAATATCATGGCTCCGGTGTTACTGAGAGAAATAAATGCAAGGCGGAACACATCAACTTAGGAAAGCGGGAAAAAATTAAAAAGAAAAAAGAAAAGTGACTCCCCCAAGAAATCCGGGCGGGTTGGTCCGGTGATCTCATATCAAACATAAGCAGTGTATGGAAGCCGACCAAATGGCGGTGTTCCAGAGCCTGACTCATAAATTTGCTGAGATACATGAACGGAGGAGGATTTTCAACTCGTCAAACTTCACTCGGTTTTTTTATAAGGTCGGCCTCTAACCCACACGATAGATATTGACAATAGGGAATAGTCTCAGCCGGCTGCTGCGGACCAGCTCTTTCCATTCAAACCGCCATCTCAATCTCAACATTTACTATTGTAACTCAAGTTCCACAGTGATTCCTCCATAATTAAAAAGCGGGGTCCTTTTTGGTGGATTTTGACCTTAGAACGGGTCTTCGCTTCCGACTCCGCTCGGTCCTCCCTAGTGACTTCTCTCACTGTCACTCCTCCGCAATACAGCGTGACACTTTGTTTGACCGACTTACGGATGGATGCCCTTAGCCACCAAGAAAGCTCTCTCTTTCTGTCTTGTTGCGATGTACCAGTACCCTTTCTGTTAGCCTCCTTTTTATTCGATTTTTATATATATGATTAAATTAAGATGCAATGACTTGCACACCGCGCTTACTTTTCTCACTACTTGGCACGCAACTTCCCCCCCAACTCTCTATTTCTCCTTCTCCTCCCTATAAATCTCCCTCCTCACTCTCATCACTCCAACTCATTCTCCATTCAACTCTAATTATAACCAACCCCTCCTCAACAATCCTCTCCCTCTCCCTCTTAACTTGCCCGTATCAGTTCCGGCTTTGCGGTCAGATCACATGGCCCTGGAAGCTCTCAAGTCCCCTACTGCCGCTCCTCCCTCCTTCCCTTTCGAATTGGACTCCAATCTTCACTCCTTGGAGCCATGGACCAAGCGCAAGCGTTCCAAGCGTTCCCGTCTCGACCATCCTTCCTCATGCACCGCCGAGGAAGAGTATCTCGCTCTCTGCCTCATCATGCTGGCTCGCGGTGGCTCCGCCGTCTCCCCCACCCATCCCACCGACTCCGACCGCCATAGATCCCCCCAGGACAATCTTCCCCCGGCTGTATCTGAGTCGGCTCCACCGTCCGCAACAGATCCAACCACCGCCCCTAAGCTCAGTTACAAATGCTCTGTTTGCGACAGGACTTTCTCCTCTTACCAGGCTCTTGGTGGACATAAGGCCAGTCACAGAAAACTCACTGCAGGCGGCGCTCCCGGGGAAGATCAATCCGCCTCCTCCGCCGTCACAAGTACTTCTGCAAACACCACTGCAACTGCATCCAACGCGGGGGGTAAGTCCCACGAGTGTTCTATCTGCCACAAGTCCTTCCCCACCGGACAGGCCCTGGGAGGTCACAAGCGCTGTCACTATGACGGCGGAGCAGCCGCCGCTGGCGGTGGTAGCAGCGCTGTCACTGCCTCGGAAGGAGTTGGATCCACACATACCGTTAGCCACAGCCACCGTGACTTCGACCTGAACCTTCCCGCTCTGCCCGACTTCTCGGCCAAGTTCTTAACTCCCGGGGACGACGAGGTGGAGAGCCCTTTGCCGGTCAAGAAGCCGCGTCTTTTGATGGCACCCAAAATCGAGGAAGATCACTGAATCAGCATATATTCATATGTTTTGGTTAGAGTCAGATAACTAGGAAGTGACATCAAATTGAATCAAATTCTTAGTTTGTTCTTTTAATTCTTCATTTGTCAGGGCATTTCGGGATTCATTTGTTCCTGTACATACAGTACACGGATCCTATTCACTGGTTAGACTCTGTAGTTTGACATTGGAAATTCAATTCATTTATTTTAATTAAAATTCATTCATTTTTGTCCTTCTATTTCGCACGTCTCTGTTTTCCTTCTCTCCGACGGCTCAGAGTTGTGGATGCGCCGCCTGACCTGCGCCGTGACGAAACACCAGATTCGCGTGAAGGGTGGGGCAAGTCCTGATTCTTATCGACGTTGTTGACGGTTTTTACTGTTAGCACAGAGCGCACAGCTCCCCTCAGTGTCCGCTGTGCACCACCACTTCACGCGAAAAGTGCAGGCTATCTGCCGTTGCTCCCCCCCAAAAAAAGAAAAAGGAAAGAAAGAAAAAGATTCGATTGCCTAACTTATGGGTAAATAACTAAAATCAGACAAATACTAAAATAGAAATATCGAGGAGCAGAGCAAATGGAGGATGGTTGGCGTGGATAAGGACGAGGTTTTGGACTTTTTCTGGAGGTTGTGGAAGAGCTAAGACGATGACGAGGACGCGTGGATTTACTGATCGATGGTTGTCTTCCAACGCGGACTCAGTTAATTTTCTAAATTAATGTAAAGTGTCGTGCCGCGTCGTTCAACGGTGTGGTTAGACGGCCAGAGATGCCAAACTACACGGAACGAGTTACAAGGGGGGATGGATCATGGATGTGTTTTGAATGTGTGGGAAAAGGAATTCGAAGTTTTGTTGCTTTGTAATAACATACGTGTCCTTCTTTTCCCCTTCACACTTATCACCAGGCACTTTTCAAATTTACTGTGTGTGGGTTACGGCGTCTTAATTGATAGGCACAGGGCGGCACCCGTCATTTAAGAGGAAGGCAAATCATGGTGTGTTTGGTTGGCAAGGCATGTGCCCAATTTTAGGCCACTTTGTTGTCAATTGCATCAAAACGAAGCATATATTCTTTTGACATGTTCGACTCTGTCCTTTGCGTGTTAATCAAGAACCGGGTTTTTGCTTTTAAATACTCGCGCCTCCTTGTCCACACTTCGTGGTTATCTATCCGGAATTTCACCATAATTTGGACGCCGGCCTCCGTACACGTTTTTGTGGTCCAATTAAAAGAAACTATAAGAAAAGACTGTGTACACGTTTTGTAATTTTAGGTCACGCGTTCCACAATTTCCACTTCCGGAAGGTTTACCCATTCACCCCCTCACATTTCATCCATTTCTGAGTTATTTAAATGGACAACAACATCGGCGTTTTTGTTTCTTTCATCGTGGAGTCATAATTCAAGCCGCGTGTTTAATGAGTCTATTTAGTAAGCAGCCTCTGAGGATATTTTGTCTTTAAATAAATATCAGCCAATCTTGAAGAACTGAGAATCGTGGTTGAGTTTATCAAGGGATGAAACAGAATACGTCAAATGACAATGAAACCCAGTTTACGCCAACAAGAAATAACCAACATACGCGTAAAGATGTATGGATACAACCTTAATTATTAATTAAGAATTCAATAATCAACGAAGGCAAACAAAAGCGATTCGATCCCCAGCAGACGGATGACAGCTGCGCCTAAGGTTAGCGTACACAACGAACCGGAAGAACCGACAGCCGGGGAAAGAAGGTAAGAGTGGGCTGAAGAAGATTCTAAGTTCGTAGCTAACACCTAGAAGGAGGGTTGGCATTTATGGACCCCACAGCCACAAGCATGTCCACGTCCGATTCATCATTACAAATGCTTGGCTAATTAACCCAAGTGTGGGAATATCATATGGAATTGTTGTGAGGGCGTCCTAATCCTAATTAGTAGTAAAACAAAGGGCTTGAATTAATGGTCCATTTGTTTACGGCAACTCTAAAAGTAAAATTTAAACAGATCACAAGTTGGTGGGCGGGTGACGAATAATTGGACCAACAAATGGGAATTCCTCCTTTTCAGTGAGCTGAACTAAAATTCAGTTCAGCTAACCCACGCGGTGCGCAGTTATGTCCGGGTTCCTCGAATCACCTTGTTGCTTAAGACGGCGCCGTCTATTTAGCGATTAAAGAAGAAGAAAGAAGGGCCAGGACAGAAGTGTGGCCTTGAATGAGCACATAAAGCTCGCATCACATGTCCAATTAGCCTCCGACTCTGTTACGCTTTAGATCTGGGGACTATTTTTCCTTTGGCTTTATTATTACCCTTCTCCCTCTCTATACAAGTAGCTACTATTCTGCAGAAATATTGCATTAGGGATAGAATAACGGACTTTAAGAGCCTTCCCTTTCACGACATTTCAAGTTTATCAAAGAATATTCGTTTATTTTTGCAGCCCTGGCTATGACTCTATCCACACACAACTGACGGCATGGCATTGGTCCTACTGCCATGACGTATATGGTATGTATTCATGATTGTCCGATATCGTCTGAAACAGGTTTCAATAAATTACATGATAAAATCTGTGCGTGAGAGGGGAAGAGGTAAAACTCAAAACATACTATTTTGTGAGTATTATTTGATTGGATTTTCTTTTCTTTTTTGTTATTGTATAATATTGATGATTTGAAGTTTCGCTGTTCTACAATTCTCTTTTGTTAATACGTATTATTAATTTTTGAATTTGAATTTCTTATAATCGCTGATTAATCACGCACACGGGAAGATTAGAATCACTATAGTTGAGGTCATCATTTAGCTTTTTACACGTTCTTTTATTTTCATCTGTGTGATTGTGGTATTATATAGATTAGATACAAAGGTTTTATGTTGCTCGTTTTGCATCGTGGCTATGTACTTCTAACCGTGTCATATAGATTTATAGGAAAGTTAAAAAAAAAAAAAAACTTCTATATTCGTGTTTCTGTTTCTATCTTGTTATTATATAATCCCTACAAAGGATTCACCCCCTCCATTAACTACGCAGTGATATTTGAATTCTCTTTGTTTTTCCTTGTTCCCTCTCTTCATCAGGATTATGTTATCTCCGCTCTCAATTATTAAAAATATTTTGTGAGAAGTTGCGATATGAATAATGACAATCTCTAATCTACCTTGTTCTGTCCTTTTGGGTGGGTATTTCTTTTTTTTTTTTAAAGCATATGTATCTCTTATTGGAGACAAATCATATTTGAATCATTGTCAGACATTAAATGCATTCACCTCTCTCAATAAGGATTCGAACATTAATTCTCCATGTTATGAGGGACTAATTTTTTCTGCCAGATCCCATCTCATCACCCGTTGGTTTTGGGTGGATATTTCTGTTTCAATTCAATTTTGAAATAATAAATAATAAAGAAGCATTACCGTCACGTTAGCCATAAAAAAAAAATCATTAAATGGGCCGACTTCGAACCGGAAGAGAAAATCTATAAGACGTAGCCCAACCCGCAGGCCTATCTTTACCTCAATTTTCAGTTTGACGGCTTCATTGCGCGTTGAAGGCAAAACTTGCTACTCCGAGTTTATAACAATAGCAATAATAAAACTTATCCTATTCAATTTTAATTTACATTTGCCCCTCAGAGAGTTGAAATATTTTGACCAAGTATTCACTATGATTCTAGCATGGCCACATCCGTCCTAACGAAATCACACCGTAGGAAATTGAGATTAGGTTTGATATGATAGTTGCACTTTTAAAATGAGGGGAAAGTAGAGTGATTTTTTTTTACAGCTATATTCAAAATACCGTCAGACACTAAATATAAGTACTTGTTTTAATAAATATTCAAAATTTAATTTGTCACTTTATGAGGGACTAGCCCTATCCGCACCCAATCCTTTTTTGGATTTATAGCTGAAGTATTCTCTTAATAACATTAAACAAAGATTCAGTTTAATCCTTTATTTTTAAAAGGTATATTTTAAGTTTTTTAACATTAAAATCATTAATAAAAAATAATAATATTGAGATCTTGAATGCTGATAAAACACTTTCAAACGCTAACGTATTAAATTTAATTTTTAAAACAGTCATAATTATTATAAAAAAATCATAGTTTAATACTAATGATTTTAATATATTTTTTAAAATTAAAAGATTAAACTGAAACTTTATAAAAGGTTAAGGAATAAAATATATATTTTAGCTATTATTGAAATTTTGTGAGAATCTACTGTTCTATTAGTACACTCTCTCTAGTTTAAATTCCCCGCGATATTTTTGGGATTTAAATTTTTTTTAAAATTCCTCTTCTATCATCAATTTTCTATCCATCTGTGTCTTTTTCTATATTTATGTAATCAAAATTCTGTTTTTTAAAAATAAGTACTATTTTCATGGAAAAAAATATTAAACCGAAATTTGAAAAGACTGTCCTATATTATCCAATATAATTATCTTTTTTTTATGAAAATTCATGAGATTCCCATATTTTGTGTTTATAGTTTATAAGCTCTAACACAAAAAAAAAAAATAAATGTTAAGGTCAACATGTTTGGTCAAAGAGCTTGAGGGTGACAAGTAATTTTAAAAAGTGGGTTTGAAAGTAGACATGGGCTTTTGAAGCCTATTCAAAGGCATTTTAAATAGATTTTAAAAAAAAGCTTTCAATCTTTTTTTCCCCCTTAAATATAGGTATCTTTTTATTTGAAATAATCTTATTCGAGATATTATTGGGTATTAAATGTGAACACTCCTTTTAGTGGGGATTTAAACCTTTGTTCGAACTTTTGATCTTTTAAAAGCACACACTTAAGCCTTAAAAAAGACCCTCATTCCAAATCCGTGTCGCAGGCTCACATCAATTTAGCTAAAAGCTTAGCTTAAACTAACCTATATCTACCCCTAATTCCCAGGCATAAATTAAAAGATTGAAAAGAATTCTATCAATTATACTGTACATGAGAATTTTCACATTAAGCATTTGTGAGAATTCTTTCAACTTTTGTGTTGAATTATGCAATACAAGAAAAATTTGAGAAGTTTTTTGTTCTAACAATTTCGGTCAAAGGAAAGGCCTATATTTAATTTTTAGCGTGGGATAGTCAAATATAAATGGTGGTAACATTAAATTTCCAACGGAAAATCACAATGAAATCCTAGGAAATGAATGCCATGACCAAAAATTTTCATGAGCGACAATAACACTCCGACGGGAGATTTTTATTTTTTTGTACTAAATACAAGTTATTTGT